ACAAAGATATCTGAAAAGGTTCTCGATTCCAATAGACACGGACAATGCTAAACAGTAAACAATATGTCTAATTGTCTGTATTTAGTTGAGGCTAATTCCAAATACTGTAGCTTCGTAGTTCTTCATGTATATGTCCATAGCCAAACATTCTTTGTTGAGGATTTTCTCTGAAAAGAGTTTGCTAAGTGTAATTTCCTTCTTATTGTATTGTCTGCCTATTTGTATATAAGGAAAAATGATATGGCACTCTTTGATCGATATGCTTTTCAGCTAGGGAGCGACATATTCAACATTTTGAGTGATCAATCTTAATTTATTTGACAATCAAATAGTAATTGTATTACATATATATATTGACATGAATCATATATGACCGTTAAATAATAATTATATTAAATATATGCAAGTATTATAGCTAATATTTGACTTTTAATAATAAACACTACATGTAAAACAATGTAACAATCCAAAGTTAAGAGTACGTTTGAACGAGAGAGACTTTCAATATTTCTACTCATTTTACCTCTAGCTAATATTTCACATTTGAGTACCAGGTATATTATAATTTAGATACACTTTTAATAATAAATCCTGTCTTAGCCATTTTTTATGCCACCATGCATATATATAAATTATTCTTTGACTATTTATTACAATTATTGTATTGCTAATTATTATTAGAGTAATACTTGCATCATATGGAGAATATGCGTATTTGATTCTTATGAATAGCATATTATTATTATATAAATCGCATAATTAGAATTATTTAACTTTTTAATCTTTATTGAAGAACATTTAAAAAAAATCATTCCAAAAGGGTCGTCTATCACCAAAATGTGTCATGTAAATAAACCGTAATTAATGAATATGCTAGTGGTATTAACATTGCCGACTTGTTCTGTACATTTGGATGCATGCATGATCTTCAATTCGAATAATTTTTCATAAGAATTATGAGTTAAATGATGATTATTGTAAACATTTATACAGTGAAAATATATAATACGCAATGAGTGGGATATGTGCATTCTCCTTACTAGGAATGTGAGTATTACGCACTTTAATAGAAGGGATCCCTTTTTTTTGGAAAATTTTATTTGAACACATGTAATCTCTTTCTACACCCAACTTACTCTCTAACCTCATATTACTTTTAATCAAACTATTAATATCACTTTAAACCCAAATTTACTACCTAAATTACCCTCATAAACCCACTTCAAATATAAATTTATCTTTACACCCATTTAGAAAACAAAAACACGAAATCAATATTCTAGAACTCGGTCAAGGCGTAAAGAGAGTAATATATCTTACCTATTTGTCTCATACTTAATCTTTGCTGCATATTTGCCACTGTAGTATACAAAGGCAAGGTCCTAGTGGATACTGGAAATGGTGCAGTACTCGTCAATTTGATATACAATTAAGTCGGGTTTAAATAATTGTGTCATCTCGGTGCTAATGTTTGATCCTTGCTCCTACATTTGTCAAGTTCAAGCTTAATTAATTAGAGCTAGGTATAAATTATATTCAATTGTTAAGTTATATAAAATAGACAACGTGTAGTTTAGAAATCATAAAAATAGTTTGTTGTGTGTCAATGTTTTAATCAATTTTCGCATCCTACTTGCCCAGAAGATTAACTACTTTCACAGAAACAAGTATAAGGGTTTGGATAATACTAATCTATGTGGTAGTTGTCAGCCAAAAGCCAAGAAAATTATATATCTAGTGTAGTCTATAAATTGAACATTTATTGTTACGGACTTAAACTTAGATTAAGTTTGTGGGCAAGTGTAATAGAAAAGACGTTAATTTTGTTTCTAAATCCTAAAATTTTTAAAATCAAATGAAAAAAAACTTGCATAAATCGATTTATACCTTAGTTGGAGGATTCAAAACTTCAAAATCAGCGTGCATTGGTCAAGAAGAGCATATTTTTCTCTATGAGAGCGTTTTAAGGGTTTAGTTAGAATGAATGTATGATAAATATTGCGTGATCGTAAAATTTGATGTGATGATATGGTTTGATTATTGAGTGGTTTTATTGTTAATTTTCTCTTGTATTTGATGGTAATTATGTAATAGGGTAGAAAAAATAATTTACATAATCAGTGTGAGCCCCACCATTGTTACTGAAACCGGGCGCTTGAGTGCCAAATGCCCTCAGTTCATGCCCCAGAAGCGCGCAGCGCGCGAGGCTTCAGAATGGCATGGCCCCACCTACGTGGGCATGTCGGCCACATGGGCCAGTTGAACCAATGACTCTTTTGATCCAACAGATGCAATCAACAGGCCGTTGGTTGATCCAACAGCCTACATTCAAATTATTTTTTTGTTTTATATTTATATATTTATTGAATCCAATGACTGAGATCGAATATAATCAATTCTAAAGGTAAAAAGAAAAAAGATTTAACTACCCAAATTTAAATCCTGCATCTAAAATAATTAATTTTTTTTTATTGTTTCTATTAATTTAGATGCCTTCAATAATTATTGTACTTATTGTTGCACACTTTGATGTACAATAGATGCCTTCAATATTTCAAATAGCCTTCAGTAATTTTGACAACGTACTAGACAAAAGACTTGTCACAAGAAGGCACTTCAATTTATTACTAGAAAATACCAACATAGCACACTTAAATTTAACACAAGAACACATTAATACACCAACTTAGCACATTAATACACCAACACTAACACATTAGTACACTTAAGATTATCCATCATCAATGTTCTTCTTCTCGGTGCTATTTATGCTCAACCAAATCCTTGCGGAGTGTGTCATGACCTTGAGGAGCTTGCATTCTATTTAAACGTCTCATATACTCACTCAGTGTGACCCTATCTTGTCGGGTCTCGTATTGATGATTTTGAGGAAACAAAAACACTTTGAAAGTTGGAAGATTGGTGAATATGTTGTGTGATGGTTATATATTCAACATATGCTTATGTAGAGGATGATTGAAGGTTTGTGGTTAGATATTCGCATGCGTGTAGGTTAGATAATCATATGCGTGTAGGTTTGTGGTTAGATATTCACGTGTGTAGGTTTGTGGTTAGATAATCACATGCGTTTAGGTTTGTGGTTAGATAATCACATGCGTGTAGGTTTGTGGTTAGATATTCACGTGTGTAGGTTTGTGGTTAGATAATCACATGCGTGTAGGTTTGTGGTTAGATATTCACATGTGTGTAGGTTGGCTAGATATTCACATGTTTGGTGTGTTCTATGTGGAGCCAAAAATAATGAAGAAAAATATGGAGATGACACGTGGATGTTTGGGTTAAATGATAGGAGCAAATTTATGCGACTTAGTTAGCTTATTTTCTTGCATTTTCATAGTTAGTTTGTGTTTATTATAGTGTTATTTTCGTGTGTTTGTAGGTCCAAATGACAAAGTTGGCAAGAAAGTGTAATTTGGAGCATTTTGAGGCAGTTTTGGGCATCAAATGGATAACTTATGAGTGGAGCAAGATGGATGGACGAATTTGAAGTTCAAGAGACTAGGAATGTGCTGAAAAGATGAAGAAAATAAATCCAAGACAAAGAAGATAAAGAGTCAGCTCAAAAGAAGGAGTCATTATCCAAAACCTTATCCAACCTTATCTTATCCAAACTAACCTTATCCTATCTTATCCTTTCCTAATCTAGCATTATCCAATCTTATCTTATCCAAATCAATTTGTGCCTTAATTCCAGCCATTTATAAGGGATAATTATGCATTTAAAATACATATTTCAGATTCTAGAAGCCTTATCTCCTCTCCCTACAAAAGTGGCACCCCAACCCCTTCTAGAACCCCTTTTCCTAGTTGTGCCGCACCCTTATGATGGTTTTTGATGTGTCATCCTAATTTCCCTTGGTTTCTGATTCTTTTAACCCATTCCACTTGGGTTTTGGAGTGCCAATCATTTTCCAATGCTACCTAGGCCGTGTCTTTTCTCCCTATAAATATATTGCTGCATCATTCATTCAGATCACCACCCTCTACCACCATTCACTATAAATTCGTGCCATATACACCTATACACATTCATCCCATTGTGCTGTTGATTTGCAAGGAGAAAGGAGAGGAGACCCTTGGAGCCCTGCTTGCCATTCAAGACGTTGGATTGTTGGAGCGTTTCTAGGTGTATTCTATCCATTGTTTTAATGTTTAAATTGTCTTTGTTTAATTGCGAACATGAGGAGCTAAACTCGTTTTAGCTAGGGGAAATTCAAAGCCATGAACATATTTGCAATATGAATTGATTACTTCCAGTTGTGATTTCATGAATCGTGAATGCAATTTACTTAACTATTTGATTAAGAACTTATTCTTGTTTGTTGATTAAGGGTGCACACTTAGGTTACATGCAAGGATTTGATGCTAAAATATAAGGGAGTTTCACCTAATCGTTATGAACTTATATTTATAAGTAATGGAAGTTGCTAGTCACGATCGCGTTAAGTGAATTCCTGGCAGGAGTATCATGCCGTTCGTAGTTACGAATGCCTTGTCAATGCTTATGATTTTCACAAAGCTTAATGATCTTTGATTACATCTCTATTATGCTGTCATGTAGGGAACTATTGAAGAATAATTTGGTTGCCGATGCGTTGTCCATCCAATTTAATGACTTAAGGAAAATCTGAGGGTTAATTAGTGTTTTTCACGGTTAATCTGAGGCATTGAGGTTCATGGTTTATTGGAAAAGCAACTAGAAATCATTTTGTATGCAAGTGTGTCATGTGTGGAGAAGAACCCTCTAGCTAGCCAATCACCCATATTTCCCCCAAATTTGTGTCTAATCTGTCTAAGTTTTTAATTTAATTGTCTTTACTAAATTCATCAAAAACCCAATCCCCTTTATTTTGCTATGTTAAGTTAGTTAGAATCTGTCCAATTTGTGTTTTTAAGTGTTTTGAGTCAAGTTAAAATCAATTTTCGTCCAATTCACCCTCTAGTGTCTAGTTTGAGTCTATTTGATTGTTTTGTGTTGTTTTGAGTCTTTTTAGTTTGTTTTGAGTTCCTTGAGTCTAGTTAAGTGTTTTTAAGTCCAGTTTTGTGTTTTGGAGTCATATTTGTGTAGATTAGCCGCCCTAGTTAATCCCCGGCCTAGAACGATCCCTACTTTCATATACTACAACTATCTTAATAAGGTTTAATTTGAGTGTTAGAATATTTCACATCAAATTTTGGCGCCGTTGCCGGGGATTAGCAAATTTGCTAATCCCTTGTTTGTGTCGTGTCTTTGTGTTTTCTTTTAAGTGTCAAAGTATGTTTTTGTGTGTTTTTGCCGTACCTTCTACCTGGTTGCTTATTTGTTTTTGTTTCTTGTTTCAGGTACTAGTTTATGACTCGTAGTTCTCAACCTATTAGTGCAAACATCTTGGAGTTCGACGACGATTTTGAACGAACTTTGAGAAGAAAGAGGAAACAACCAGAACCTAATCCACCTAGTTCAAGTTTAGAGGCCAAATCTGAATTTGAAGAAGAAGAAGAAGAAGAAGAAGTCATGGCAGCAGACAATCGTACAATCAAAGAACTTTCAACCTCGGGGTTGGACAATGTTGTGCCCTTTTGCATTCAATACCTCGTGGCTGCCCAAGGAAGACCGATGAGTTCAAGTTGAAGTCAAGCTTGCCGCATCATATTCCTAAGTACCATGGGTTGTCCATGGAAGATCCAAACAAGCATTTGAAGGAGTTTGAAATGGTGTGCTCAAGCATGACACCCATCAATGTTGATGGGAGCATTCTAAAGATGAAGGCCTTTCCATTCTCTCTTATGGATAAGGCTAAAGATTGGCTATACGAATTGGCACCCGAAACTATCATTTCTTGGGAAAGCATGAAACGAGCATTTTTAGAAAAGTTTTTCCCAACTTCGAGAGTCATTCTCTTGAGAAAAAAGAATTAGTGGCAGTCAACAAAGCCAAGGTGAATCCTGTCCAGCATATTATGAGCGTTTTAAGGGTCTAGTTGCATCTTGCCCTCAACATCAAATGAAGGAGGAACTTTTACTTCAATATTTCTACGAGGGACTCCTCCCAATTGAAAGACACATGTTAGATGATTCAGCGGGAGGTGCTTTGGTTGATAAAATACCGGTGGCTGCCAAGATCTTAACTGCAAACGAGCCTTGAATGCACAACAATACGAAGGTGTTGGACAAAGAGACATCCCACGGCAACAACAAGTGAATGAGGTAAGTGCAATTTCCGAACTTCAATCTCAAATGGCTAATCTTACTATTCTTTTGTCACAGGTTGTCGATGGATCCAAAGTACAAGGCGTGGCCATATGTGGAGTGTGCTCTATGAAGGGGTATCTTAATGATCAATGCCCTCAGTTGATAGAGAATGGATGATGGGAAAATGCAAATGCCGTGGGCTATCAAGGCTAAAATCAGCCACGGAATGATCCATACTCTAACACCTATAATCTGGGCTGGAAAGATCACCCAAACTTCAAGTGGAGAGAGCCTCAACAACCTCAACAACAAGGAAGATATAGACAGCCACCTCTCGGGCTCTATCAAATACCATTCACACCAATTCAACCCCATCCATAATATGCCCAAACAAACTCAAGTTTGTCATTAGATAATGATACACTTCTTCAATTACTAACTTCATTAACGCAGGGCCAACAAAATCAAGCCAAGGAGATGAGTGAAGTAAAGAAGCAAATAGGGCATATTTCAGAGTTTCTTGGGCAGTTTCGAGAAGAAGGCAAACTGCCTAGCTCAACCATTGTTAATCCAAAATGAGGTTTTGAAACTGCCAAGGCCATCACTTTGAGAAGTGGTAAAGAGATTGGAACCAAACCAAACATGACCATAATAAGTCTAAAAGAGGAAGAGAAGTTGCTGCTCGAAGAAGAAAAATTGGACAAACCCACGGCAAGGATTGCACAACCCTTGCCGCAGCCCCCTAAACTTTCCAATTCAGCAAATTTAGGTAAGGTTCCAAGTCGGTTAATTCTAACATTATTCCACCAAATGTGCCTTTTCCTAGCATATTTATGCAAGCCAAGAACGAAGAGGATAAAAGGACATTATGGAGATGTTTAGGAAGGTGCACGTCAATATCCCGCTCCTTGATGTATAAAGCAAATCCCGAAGTACGCTAAGTTTTTAATAAGCTTTGTACAACAAGGAAGTGGATTTGGGAGAAAGAGGTGGTACATGTGAGTCAGAATGTCTCTGCAATGTTGCAAAGAAAGCTGCCACCTAAATGCAAAGATCCAGGTAGTTTCACTATCCCTTGTGTAATTGGTAATACAAGGTTTGAACATGCTATGCTAGATTTAGGTGCATCAATTAATGTCATGCCATATTCTGTTTATCCATCTATAAATTTGGGAGAGCTTAAAAATGATGGTGTTATTATTCAATTAGCCAATTGATCTAATGTATACCCAAAAGGAGTTTTGAAAGATGTTTTGGTGCAGGTAGACCACTTGATTTTTCCTATAGATTTCTATGTGCTTGACATGGAGGATTCAACCTACTCTTCACCATCGCCAATCTTACTTGGACGACTTTTCATGAAAATAGCCCAAACCAAGATTGATGTGGCCAAGGGAGCGACAAAACAAATTTCGAGTAGATCGAGTAGTGTACAAAGCATTTTGTATGGACAATATTGTTCCATTTGGCAACATAATCTGGACTTTCCTGAGCCTTCATTTACATCTGATTGGCCAATATTTTTGTTACCTTTACTTTTGTAATCATCAAGCTTGAGAAATATTTTCGATCTCGAAGTATTGTATGCGTGGTTGCATAGTTTGCAAGACTAATATCTCCACCATTGCTTTTGTTTTAAGAATAACCATAGTTTTTATCCATGCTCTTTGAGTAAAAGAATCATAGTTAAAAACAATTTATTCATAGTAAAAGGAAATTGAAATGCGAGCTTTAAACTACAAGTTCAGATAATAAGAGTACATCAAACAGAAATGATTCAATCAGACTGATACACTTCATTCCCTCTTTCCACAATGAAGTCTGAGACATCTAGGAGGGCTGTGTTCAATTGCCCTAATAAATCAAACACTAGATCAGGTATATCCATTGGTTTAGCCTGGTCAAGAAAATTGGTTTCGACACCCTTCTTCTTGAGGGAGGCTTGATATAGGTCCACCAAATGTTTTGGGGTAAGACAGGTACGCACCCAGTGCCCATTGCCACTACACGTATGGCAGACTCATTCAGGATTTCTAGGATTGTTATTCATATGAGCTTTACCTTTGTGGCGATTTACATTTTTGAAGTTTGGGCCTGAATTATGCCTTGAACCCTGGTTGTAAGACTAGTTGCCTTTCCTGTTCCATCGGCCTCACCTGTGGCAACGTCCTCATTTGTAATTATTGCCACAAGATGACGTGGTTTTCACTTTAAGGGAAGCATCATTCACTTCTGGAAATGGTGTTGATCTAGTAGGTCAGAATTGATGATTTTTCATCAGGAGCTCATTGTTTTGTTCAGCCACAAGGAGCACCGATATCAACTAATTTTACTCAGTAAAACCTCGCTCTCTATATTATTGCTGCAGAAGCACGTTGGAGGCATGAAAGGTGCTGAAAGACTTTTCCAGCATATCTTCCTTAGTGATGGTTTCCCCACAAAGCTTCATCTGGGAGCTAATTCTGAACATTGCAGAGTTGTACTCCGTAATCGACTTGAAATCGTGGATCCTCAGGTGTGTCCACTCATAACGATCCCTTAAAAGAATCATTGTTTTCTAAGTATTATATCTATTTCGCAATGCATTTCTGAGGGCTAATGCATCTTCAACTGTTAGGTACTCACTTTTCAGTCTTTCATCAAGGTGGCGACAGATAAAGATCATGGCCTTAACCCGATCTTGAGAGGATGCACTGTTTCCCTCCTTGATGGTTTCTCCAAGATTTCCTGCCTCCAGATGGATATTGGTATCCGCTAACCAAGTAAGGTAGTTCTTCCAAGTAATATCCAAGGCAACAAAATCAAGTTTTGCCAAGTTCGTCATTTTCTTTTCCTAAAAGAAAAATGAGATGTGTAAGAACTTTCCATAATATGTATTCTGGAGGAATATAGTGTTAGAACTTCTGGTTCTTACAAATTTTTCATTTTGATCTTTAGGCCAAAATGATAAGCACTCGAAACTTTAGGCTTGAGATTTTCATAATTAATGAGGAAAGTGATTGTAACGCACTGCTCTCATTGAAACAATATAACGTAGGATGGGCGATTATACTGCACCACTCAAGCAGCAGAAAATTAAATATGTAGAGCAAGGTGGGCAATTATATCGCACCATCTTTGATAGTTCAAGATGGACGTTTGTATCATACTATCATTGATCACAGTAAAATTAAAATAAATAAACACTGGGTTAGTAATCAAGAGCTACACCAAACAATAAATCAAAAATATAAGTAATGATTATATTGAGAACTAGAACTAGGACTAGGCATGGTGCTAGCAGATCTTGGTAAGGGTAGCAGGTGAGGTAGAGGAGGAAGAAGAGCAGTAAGATCCTTGGAGGAAGCATTTTTCAGAGAAGGGAATGAGAACTAGTTAGGGTTAGAAAGTCGTGCTGATAACGTGTTATAAATAGGCAAAATTTAGAGAGGTAACCTTTGCTAGGGGCAGAAGCGAAGTTGGTGCAATTTATCACATTGATATTATTGCTTTCATTTATTTTCTTTTGTTGTGTGTTATGATCACACACGGAGTGCTCTTTAAATAGATCCACACCCGTGGAAACTTACAAAGGTGGAATGAGTGCTCTTTGAAAAACCTCATACAACAACAACATGGTCACTATTCTAAAGTCTTCCTCACCTTTGGCTAAAAACATGTGGGCATTCACTCCCACAACTTTTACAACAGTCGTCGTATTTTTTTTGTAGTTATTCCTTCGCTTTGCAAGAATACACCACTCTTATTAGCATCAAACACAAATTTCTCAGAATTTAAATAGGGAAAACCTTATTCCCAGTCCAGACTATTGTCGAACTGTCCATGTGAACAATAACAAGCAGGAACATTCTATCTTGGGGACTTATTTTGAATCTTTTGAAGCCAAAACCGAATTCGGGCTGGTTGAATAAGAGCAGCACAACTAACCAAATCACAGAAACTGAATCTATCACATTCCCACTGTGAACATAATCCCCAGTTTTGTTCAAAAGGATCAAGACATAACCAAAAACTATTATTACAACACCAAAGAAAGCATATAAACTTTGCATGTCAAGCTCAACTGTGTGAGAGACAACTATGCGCCGGAGGAAGGATAAAGATGAAATGCCTTAAACTGAAGATGTGAAATTAAGAGACTTGACAATGCAATGGAAGAAACAGACCAACTTTTCAAGTCTTCTGAAAGAAATGGAGGTCAACTGGACCACAGGAGTGTTACTCATGATTTTTCTACTGATCATTTGAAGAAGAAAAAAGATACATTTTACCGATCATCGTCCTGTTAGTGCCATCTAGTCTTGCACTTTTACTTTCTCTAAATTATAGTGAGTTTATGTATTCAAACCTTATGAACGTAAGTTAAATTTAGAACTAAGTGAAAAAAAACTTACATAATCGAAAAGAGCTTATTTAGTCTCAGGGTTTTAGCCAGAATAGAATGTAGGATGAAGATTGTGCAATGGTATTATTGGGTGTGAGTTTATTGATCAATTTTAATTTTGTTGTTAATTTCATCTTGTACTTTATGGTAATTATGCAATAGGGTAAAAAAGACATTTCACATTTAAAATTTAAGTTGGGTGTAAAAATAGGTTGTATGGGTTCAAATAAAATTACCCAAATATTATTTTGCTTGTTAGTCCGACACTGGACTAAATGATGTGGAGCTAGAAATAATCACAAGGCGAATTTTTGGACAAAAGAGGACAAAAATACCCTTGAGGCATAACGAGATTCCTACGCACAAGCAGCGAGTAATCATCCCTCAACCAAGTCAAAAGTGCCCAAAATAGATAACAATTCAAAACCTATCTTATCAAATCGCTTCTACAAGGTAACTCCCAAAACCTATTTCATTGCATATATTTTTTTACCTCATTTTCCCTTTTTTAGCTAATCAATTAGCTAATTATCTTAATCATTCCATAACTCCCCAAATATTTTTTTCAAAATATGTTAATTAGTCAATTAATAGATTTATTACCTAATTAATCTATTGATGGCTAATTAACCATAATTTACACCCAAAAAATACCTAAATGGCCGGTCCATGCTGACCATTCTCTCCCAAAAACGACTCTGAACTCTTGCTAAAATTCTCTAGAATTCTCAAACACTTTTTCTCTCTAAATTCTAACTTTGGCATTAGAGGTTCTTCGGCCAAACCCCCCCCCCCCATTCATCATGGGTGCGTGAGGCTCTTGGCCTTGACCTAAGGTGTTAATTGTTTTGTAGGTGCAATTTTGTCCAAGTTCAAGGAGCAAAAATTTGCATCCACAAATTGGTGCTTTCATTGAGAGAAGAGTCACACACTCGTAGAAGACTCTCGCATCAAAAGGTTTTTCTATTTTCTTGTCCATTTGTAGATTTTTCGTACGTTCTTATTATTAGAATTTTTTATTTGCAAAGATTCTTTGATAAAATGTAAAAGAGAAATACAATGGCTAGAAATTTAGAAAATTCCACAAGTGAAAATTCCAATATTCAAGAAATGGGACCACGACAATCCACGAAGCTAAATGTGATCATAGGAGCGGCACCATCGCTACGGGGCTCCACCATGGCAATCACCACGGTGGCTACCACGGTTACCATTACCTGCGGCGAGGTCCATGGTACCACCACCACGGCTCGAGCTGTGCCATCCAAGGCTCACCACACTAAGGCCATGGCCTAAGCCATGTCATTCCAAGCCCAATGTGAACTCAATGCGTTGCCAAGCCGAGCCCAAGCCTCGCACCCATGTGCATCACACTCTGAGCAGCCTGCTCCCGCCGAGCAGTCCACTTTCGCTGCTCCTGTGGCACAGCCTGCTCCAGCTGAACAGCCCACTCTCGTGGCTTAACCTACTTCCACGGCCCAGTTTACTCCCGTGGCCTTCCAAGTAGCCCAAATCGATCCAAGATTAGTTCAATTATCCCGGCTCCAAATTTCCAGACTGACGATCGAACCATGAGCATTTTCACCACATTTTTCTTGGAGAACTAGCTATTGTAGCGCACCGAGATGCAACGTGCCCCAGACGACGTGTCCGGAAGTAGGATAAGGTCAGACAAAGAACTTCTCTAGCAGCGTCCCTATAAGCAGCCATTTGACCAGCCACGAACCGAGCGTTCAAGCAGTGTACACTCCCGATTGGGCCCTCGAGATAGCGTATACTCCCATTTTAGAGCGCAGAAGAGCGTGCACTCTTGACTAGGCCCACAGATGAGCATACCTTTACAGTTGGGGTCACACTCCGATAGTCAACATGAGCAACCTTCCAGGCAAAGTGTTTATTCGTGGCTAAACCAGCAAGGAGCATTATCCACCTCATATCAGAGTAGGCAGCACGACGGACGGAAAGAAGCAGTCACTCAATCCAGTTTAAGTTCAACCAGTAGCCTGCGAAGAACTCACTCGCCTGTTAGGAACGCGCTGCACGCTTCGCATCCATGACATAGACGAGCCAAACATATGGAAGAACAACTTAGACCAACAAGTCATAGTTGGGGGCAGCTGAGAGCTCCACTACCTCAACAAAGGCAAATTCAGGAAGAAGTACAGAGACTCTTGACCAAACGATTG